GACACCTGTGGCTTAGAGTTTGCATTCACAGAACATATAACCTGCTCAAACTTTAAATAAAAAGAGGAGAACAAGGAGATAAAAGGAGGAAATGTGGGTTTAAAACTTATGGGTCCAAGAAAAAGCACCGGGGATGGGATTGAGATGAGCTGAAAAAACATTTCAAGTTTTCGATTGAGGTTGATCTGCAGCTGTAAGAAAACATCACCTCACGGATGTCTTACGCTTGCATGCCTGTGCAGAGCTGATCGATGTGACCAGCAGATGTTTGTGTTTGTAGGACCTGCAGGAGAGCGAGGTGTGTCAGGACGAGCTGGCTCTGAGGGTGAAGCGGCTGAAAGAGGAGCTCGTTCTCTTCAAAGGACTCGTCAGCAACGTGAGTCTGCTACAGCTTTATAAAGAGACATGAGTCGCAACTTTTTATGCATTAATTACATCTAATTACACGTGTCGTCATGGGACTGTGCACGTAAGCTCGATTGGTCCATATATTGACAAAGGTTTTGTTTTAATGGTGAAATGCTCTTTTTTCCCCTTTTATAGACAAAGAAAAAATACACAGAAAAAAACATGATATTGTTAGCTTTGTGTTTATTTACCAGAAGAAGAGGAAATGTGACTAAAATGAAAACTTTTCTGTCTTCGGGTCAGAACCTGTCAGATCTGGACACTAAAATCCAGGAGAAGGCCATGAAGGTGGACATGGATATCTGCCGCCGGATCGACATCACCGCCCGCCTCTGTGACGTTGCCCAGCAGAGGAACTGCGAGGACATGAATCACATCTTCCAGGTAGATCCACGGCCACAAAATGTCCTGAACCGCCGTCTGCTGCAGCTGTCAAACCAACCCGTCTCCACGCAGCAGGTGCCCACGCCGCCCTCCACTTTGAGCCGCCGGGTCCGAAAACACAGCGGGCAGTCGTCGAAGGGCGGGGACGGAGACGAGCTCAGCGTGTCGGAGAGCGAGGGAGGTGGGGCCAAAAGCGAGGATTCGTGCAGCACGTCGGCCAATCAGATTAATGAGCAGATGCAGAAGATGCTGAACCAGCTGTGGGTGGTTTTTTTTTGTTCTTTGTTTAACGTCTGAAACTTTCAGAAACGATGCTTAAACAACTGATACGTGTGTGCGTGTGTGTGTTTGTGTGTCTGTGTGTAGGAGGGAGTGTGAGTTTGAGGATGACTGTGACAGTCTGGCCTGGGAGGAAACTGAAGAAACTCTTCTGCTGTGGGAAGATTTTCCAGGATACACACTGGGAGTGGAACCACAAGGAGAGGTACGCACACACACACACGCGCGCGCACACACACACACACACACAGGCATTGACAGGATTAACATTGATTAAATGCTCCTTGCTTTCTACCCTCGACAGACACCGAGCACAGTGATGCTGTATGTAATACAGGATATAACACATGTTGTGTGTCTGATAGTATTTAGCAAAAATGAGAAAACATCTGCACATTTCATGCTTTTCCATTTAAACGAGTTAAACCCGGAAGTGTTGAAACACTGCAGCAAACGTGTGTGCTGCGGGCGGTCTATCCTTCAGGCTCGGCTGCTCTACCAGAGGCCTGGAGGTCGTGCTGCAGTATCTTAGCTGTTCCTATAAGACTGCGCTCTTCTACACAGAGATCTCAGATGTAGTTCCTGGGATCTGCTGGAGCCGCTCACCTAGCTGCACTGCATTTAGTGCAGCTAGGCACTAAATGCACATCTTCTCTGAGCCCTTGGTACTTTGCTAGCTTCTCGTGTTCCTTGGTTTTGATGATGCTGTCATTCGCTATCAGTACGGCCGTGTATCTTCTGCTTCTCCACCACCACTGTGTGTGTTGGTTAGCCACCACCATGTTGTCCATCTGTATCTGGAAGTCCCACAGGATCTTAGCTCGGTGATTCGGCAGCCACTTGGTTATGGCGTTCCATATGCGCCCTGCCTGGTAGGCAGTCTCCAGTCTCCCTCTCCATGGTGATGGTGGTTACTCTCGGTAGGTATCGTCTGTAGCGCTGCATTCACATCATCTAGTAGAGCTTCTGAGGGTACTTCATGTAGTCTTGGTAACCGGCTACTGGAGGATCCAGGCTTCAAGCTTCGCGCACTAAACAATCCTTCATCCATCAGGGACCCAATCTCGGGTGGGGGTGATGATATCTCCCCCTGACCCCTTACCGTAGCATGTGTGT